TATATAGCTAGAAAGGGTATTCTATCAGGTGAAGAAGCAGCCGATCGTGCACAACCTGTACAGGAAGGGGCAGCAGAGGAGGCAGCAGAGCCACCGGCCGAGCGGCCACAGCGAGCAAAACCTAGGTGCAGCATGTGCGAATCAACAGAACACAATGCACGTACGTGCCCTAGGCGGCAGGCAGCTAGCTAGTATGTAGCTGCATCAAATATATTTGTTCGTGGTGGAGTAATTCGGAATATTTGGCCTCGGTAGCGTGGTTGGGTGGGCCACTAGCTTGTGCGGGCCACTAACTTGTGGATTACGTTAACTACACAAGAACCTGCTGAGTAAGCGGCTAGGCAGGAAGGGGCCGACAATCACCCCCAATTTAGACCAAGAACGGCGAGTTCGCAAAGAGTGAATGTGTCCTCCAATGTGCCTCCCGTTGTGATGGTGATAGATCATGAATGCTAAATACCGAGTAAGTGTTGTCCTTCCTTCTGCCGCCCGCTGTGATGGTGCCTGTCCCTTGTGCTTCCAACAAGTTCAAACATTACCGAACGGAAAAGTACCACTTTTCCCGCTAGACGTAAAGCCCTGCGGGCTAACCTAAACCTGATGGTCAATCCTGTGATTACATGATATGGTTGTGCCTAGGAGCTGTGAACGGAACTGCGAGGCTACGAGGCTGACCAATGGTAAGCAATCATGACAGGCAACGCGGCTCCGATACCTCATATAGAGTGCTGGAGTGTCCATTTTTTCAGCCTCGCCAGGGTCGCCATAAATGGTGCGGGGGTGAAGCGGCAGGCGGCACGTAGGCCACATGCACGGCCGTCGCTACACGATGATCCTAGCTGAGGTCAGGGTACCCTGGACAGTAAGCGCTAGGGTTTTGTGGAATGGAGGAATCAAGTCGCCAATCCCCTGGGGCTGGATGCGCCGCTAGTGAGTGCCAGAACCAAACGAATGGTTTTGCGACAATTTACCAAACGAGTTGGTTTTTCGACAACTTACCAACCTAGTAAGGTTTACGAGTTGTTCCTGTCCACGACACTCCAAATTCACATTTGCCGGCAACAGATCTTTCGAAATCCCTTTGCAATTTGCGATCTTGGTCACTATTCCCGGCTTAATTCTCCGAGCCGGATTGGAAATAGTCAGCTTCAATTCACACGCTTTCATTACCTTGACGCCAACTTAGCCTCGAAACCTGAAGGAGAGAACGAATTCTCAAACATGAAGGCCGATACCATTCTCGCAGCGGTATTTGGCGCTTTGACTTTACTAGCAACGATAGCTGGAGTTCGCTATAAAAACTCCATCGGCGGTTTAGTCTTGAAGCTTTTCAGATGTGGACGCCGCCGTCGAGGTTAGTAGATTTTCTCTACGATGAACCACCGCGCCGCAGGTAAATTGTAGTGCATGTCTGGATTCATGATTTAAAAAGTGGCTACTTGGATATCCGATATCCTGCATTTCTTTGAACTGTTTGAAGTCTGGTACGGGAGATGGACGGACTTCAGGGTTCCAGGTCTCGATCACACCAAATCCCTTCTGCGTGTCCCCCGATGTCGGTCCCCCGATTTCGGTCCCCCGGTTTTGGTCACGTGATGCTGACGTAATGCATGTTTAGACCGCGAAAGCAACCAGGACATCGAGACCACCTCCCTTGGGCCTTCATCAAGCCAGAGCCAACATTCCACGGGCATTGAACTGCTTACTCTACCTCCTGTTCAGTATCCGATGTACCTCGATTGGCCGGTCCCTCCCTCCCCGTACGACGAGACTCGTCGCGAGCAGCATGAGTGGAGTACTGTGGCCTAGACAATCGCTTAGGGACTGGATAATCAGTTGGCCATAGCTGGATGAATGAAGACTGGTGTGCGTAGAGCTGAATGAGTGGTTTGGATACGATGCTTGAGCGTTCGGCGGCCCGCGCTTTCGAGGATGTACTGAGGTATATGGTATTTTACTTGGACCTTTCGTTATATCTTTCATAGAACCTTCTTCTATAATTTTCAACGCACTCCTCTGAAGTTGGAGGTGTTCACTATTGGTGTCCTCTACCGGGTTGTAAGATTTCGATCGCTGTCGATGCTAGATGGTGAGGCTCGCCTCACAGCTGTGTCCATAGCCTCCGACAGTATTTGGGACATCTCGAGTTCGTCGTCGCTCCTAACGATATGCTGTTGATGAGAAAGACCTTGCTTCTACCCTAGAGACAAGAAGCAAGCCGATTAGGAGTAGGAGCTGGTCGATGAAATTTAAGATCGGAAGAGAGTCCAACACACTTCTCGCATGTGAATGCTGGTAGAGACTTTCGTATGTTGTGTTAGCCGATGCTATAGTCTCACCTCTGTACTTATCTTGCGATGGACGAAGCTTTAAAGGTGGGGTTCTGGCAGATGTTTAGCCGCACCGGCCGTCTCCGGAATCCAGCCTCGCACGTGATCCATGTCGCGATTACGCTGTAAGATAGAACCGGATCTTCCAAGCCTAAAGTCAGGCGCTGTAGCTCTTGCCAACATATGGTAGTCTTGTTAAAATAGGATCTGTGTCATGGGGGTGAGGAGACCGCGTGCTACGGGTGCCCAGAAGCCACGCCCCCGGTAATTCAACGTCCCAAGTATCAAGCTACTTGGCGCACGGCATGCTTGTCATAGGGAATGTATGGGGCGAGAGTTCTGTCTTAGCACTAAATGATTGTGCGGAAACGCGAGGACGCGAGTGAGCTGGTGTCGACACAGGCCCCCGAGTCGCCAGCCAAAGGCGGCACGATCTGCCAATCCGCCGAAACATAGCCTCACAATCCGCGCGCAAATTCCGCAGGGAGCCTCACAACGCTGAGGAGGCAGAAATTATGTAGGAGCCACCAATTTCTCGCCCGCCAACACCTCTATAATTACTCCAAGTTCCTCGAGCTTCTTTCCCATCTTGAAGCGCAGACTTTATCCATTTCTCCCAGTGCCCATCTTCGCTACTCAAAACTTCGTGACCGTGCGACAGCGCAATCCTTGCTAGAGCGGGACATGCCAACCAACCAATAGAATAACACTCCTGCAAGTGCTTAGCCTTGCGGCTTTCCTTCGCAGCCTTCTGGTCTATTCTTTTCTCGAGGTCTTTCTGTATGAGATTATTTTCAGCATGGATTTGAATATCTCTGACTGTCTGAAGAAACTGTCTTCCTTGGATGACCTCGACAGGACTAACATTTGGCGCAGAACCCGCTAGACTTCTAGCACAACTCTTTCGGCGATCATTGGACATCGTAGTCGAAAGCTGCGACCCAGACTTTACGTCTTCACCCGTCAATCAAAGTAAAATGGCGGATCAACACGCCTCCCATGCCCATCTCTCAGCCGAAGCCATCTTTGGTCTCATCTTCAGCATTCTCACCCTCACGGTTGCGATCGCGAGTATCCGGTACAAAGACTCTATATGCATGCTTTTCCTGAGGTGATGTCGCCGGACTCGTACTCAAAGAGGTTAGTCCTGCTGCGGACTCCTAACACTTTCTTCGATCTCAGCTAATGCGACGTAGGAAGTACTGATCTCGAAACCGGCAACGATAGCGCACAGAACAGAGCCGGAAGGAGCGACCTTGAGCTCCAGAGAAGCAGGTCGACGTTCTTAGACTGGCCTTTGTTGCCTTCGCCGTATGATGTTGGCCGGACGGAGAGGCTTGAGTGGGAGAGAGTGAGAAGCAGCGATGCCTGATCCAAATTGAGGGTGGTAGATCTTGAACGGGAAGCTTCCTCGGGTCCGTTTAGATTTGAAGATGTGTTGTGTTGTCGTGCGATGATCTTTTGGAATGGAAAGTGGAAGTAGAATCAGAGAGTCAGGTGGTCAACGCCCAGCACAGCGTCAGGAGCTGAGGAACGCTAGCCATACATATTCTTAGTCAATGCCCTTCTTTTTCATGCGAAAATTTAGTCTTCATCTGAACTTGCGCGAAACGCCGAAGCTCTCTACCGAAACGCTCTTCAATCTCATATTCGGTATTCTTGGTCTAATGATGTTGATTGGGGGCCCTCAGTATAAGGACTGGATATTCTCACTCTTCTGGCGTTGGTGTCGCCAAAGTCGTGGCCAACAAGGCTAGCCCCACAACTAGATCCTACTTTAGCAGTGAGTATTTCTTAACACTAAGTAGCTTATACGGATATCGAAGCGAGGGAGGGGCGCGCTTAAGATAGACTAGGAGAGGAAATCTTTGAGCTCCAATAGACTTTCTCAGGGCCACGTTTCTGGACTGCTCTGTACCGTCCGTAGACTGCTCTGCAATATTCCCGCGGTATAAGCCCTGAGCTAGTAGGGCCCAGAGGGTTGGACAGAAGAACATGCATGAATGATGTAGACAGAAGCTCGTGGACGGTCATAAACTGCATAGGGAGATTTTTCTATCTTGTTCCTAGACTTCTAGGTTTTATTCGTATAACGACGTCTTAGGATACGGCGTGGAAAATGGGGCGGAGATTCGCGCTTTATGCCGCCCGCTTTAAAGAGATTTGGGACTAGAGCAAATCGAGACTCCCAGATCATTTTCGCATGGTACGCCTTGAAAGCAAACTCGTTCCTATCTAGCTAAGAAACGGCAAGCATGATCGTCACCAAGACAGGACGGTGAGGCAATCGATTCTAGGCAACTAAAACGTGCAGCAACCGGGAGCGAGATGCTAAGAGAATGAGCAGAGATTGGCCCAGCGGAAAATTAAGTAGCAAGTGTTCTTGTAGATGGCTTCCCAGACATTTGGGTGCAGGGATGGGTAGTAGCCTTACAACTCGAGCGACATGTTGAGGTGTTCTGCAGCGGGCCGAAAGAAAGCCGCGTCATGCCCGCCAGCCTCTAGCCTCTAGCACGGCGAATATCTAGCAAACGCTAGAAAGACGCGGTGGCCGACAAAGAAAATATTGAGAGCTGCGCAGTCGACGATCCGTAGCTATTACCCAGAAGTGATTCTTCCATTGGAGCCAAGCTGCTGTATAGAGTCCAGATGCGCGCGTAGGAGGAGTACTTTTGCCTGGCAGTGAGCGCGAAGTTGCTCGTGCGAAGAGCCAGGAAATGGGCGCCGGTGGACGGGTGAACGTGCACTGCCCACTCAAGGAGTAATCCTAGAGATGGAGCGAACGTAATGTGACATGATATGGCCCGCGGGCGCGCCACGGCGGTATTGGGGCGGTGAGCTGGAGCAGCCAGGGATCTGTGCTCATCACCGTGCTCGCCGTACCCGCCAATGCCTTGCTGCCCTCCGCTTACGCGCTCGGTCATTGCAGCTCTCTCTCATCGTAACTGTAAAATCTTAAAAAGAAACGTCTGTCCTGATCGATTGGTATATAGTTTTAACCACGACCACTCATTCGACGAAGGCTTCTTCGACAAATATCCATCCGTGAAGTGTCTCCTACTCACTCCGCGACACATTCGATTGCCTCAACGAGGTAGAGAAGTTGATAGTCCAGGAACAGCATCTGAACCCGACATGGCTCATGAAGCAATGTTGGCAATCCTTTTTGGAGTTTCGACATTGGTCGTCACCGCAGCCGGTATAAAATTCAAACACTCGATCTGCTGCTGCTTCCTCGGCATGATTCGAAGAAGACACCGAACGCAAGGTCAGTCAATTCTTTCCTTCCTTCTTGCTTCCTGTTGATCTTCCAGAAGATGGCACTGCAAGATGGCGGGGATGCTGCGCCACACAAGGCTGACCAATCGCAGGAGATCGGGACATCGAAACTGCTCAGCGCCCACCCATAGAATACTTAGAGTACTTCCATCGACCTGCGGCAACTTCGCCGTTCGAGCTTAGTCAAACTGAGCAACTGGAATGGCAGCGGGAGAGAGATCGGGATAAGGGTGCGTGGCGATAGGTGCTATGTCAGATAGAGGGTGGTACGTGTTGTGGGTATATGCGGACTTTGATCTGGTGCCCGGTGAAGGCACTGATGTTTTAGCAGACACAAGGTCATTTTGACGTGTTACGGAAGCTTCAATGATAACGATGTGGACTGGAAGATGATGAAGAGGAAATATCGGACAAGGCTGAGGTTGAAGTTGGGATGCTAAGCTTTTAGAGGCTAGGTCTGATTAGGTACTAGCGCAATATAGTAGCTTCGTTTCCCGAAGTCCCCATCCCCACCTCTGCTGCCTCAGCCTCTTTACCCTCCTACACTCAACATCAACAATCAGACCGCGAAACATGAGATAAGCAGGTCCCGGGCGTCATAGCCACTGCCAACATGCTCGAAGTGTGTGAATGCAGATCTGCGAGACCTGAATCTCCACCAACGTCAACTCCCTACTCATACACGCCGCTAGATACTCCGGATCAATTTCGAACCATTCGGCTTTTACCTGCGGAATCGTTTGAAGCTCCCATTGAATGCCAGATTTGTATAGCAAATCTCTCCCATGGTTCTTCCTATGAAGCGCTTTCATATGCTTGGGGAAGTAGCTCTCGAGAGAATTCGATAAAATGCAACGGCCAAGATTTGTTCGTGACCCCTAATCTACTACGGGCGTTGAAGAGGCTACGCCCAATCTCTACACGCAGCATATCGAATCCGGGACCTCTTAATCTATGGGTAGATGCTATCTGCATTGACCAAGAGAATCGGAAGGAAAGAGCTCATCAAGTCGGCATCATGAAGAGGATCTATCAACTCGCCTCGAAAGTTGTTGTATACCTCGGAGAGGATGTCAACTTCAAGGACAGTGTCCCAAGTATACGAATGTTGTGGCTGCTCGACTCCTCCTGGTATACTAGGATGTGGACTCTGCAAGAATCTTTACTTAACCCGAACACGATCGTCAGGCACGGCGAGACTATGCTCTCATGGGAAGATCTCGAGATCGGGTTCCGGTCATTACCTCCCAGTTTTCGTTACAACGCAGCGCAGCGGAATGCTATTCTCCGCGTCCAAACTACTAGAGAGTTGAGACTGCAGTTTCGAGAACTGCAGGGGTTTGTCCAGCATCCTCAGCCCACAGACCGCACAATCGCCGATCGTTTGTCCCGCATGCTATCTCTGTGCCAGTACTTTGAATGTGGAGATCCGAGAGACAAAGTCTTCGCCATCCTCGGCCTTGTCGATAACTTAGATTTCAACGCACTACCCGAGCTAAATCCGGACTACAACACTCCCGTTACGGAGATATACCGACGTTTCGCATTGTTCATTATCACCAGCCTGAAGGACCTGCGCATCCTTCACGACGTGGGTATTAGCCGCCGTCTGGAAGGTCTGGCGACATGGGTACCAGATTGGAGTGTCACGAATCCTCAGGGCAAACTTTCTCGCAAGCTCTGTCGGCCTCACTCTGATTCTTTTGATCTTCAGCAGCTCGGAATAGAAATACGAGGGGATGGATGGTTACTGATCTGTAAGGGTGCTTGTTTCGACACAATCGCTACCGTCGGCATGCCTCTTCGCGACATGACTGAATACATGAAGATGGCCAATGACTGGCGTAGTGCATTACCCCCGCACATGTCCCGTGTCTACAGCAACCACTCAGAAATCGACTTAAACAGCTCTAAAAACAGCTCTAAAGACAGACTCATCAATGAAGAAAACGTAGAATATGCGATCACCACCTTTTTGACAATGCTGACCGCCGGCAAATGGAATCGTCTTTCAGAAGTTGCCCGCGCACAGTGGTACGGGCGACTGGGATTCAGAGCAGAATGTTGGCCTGAGGATGCTAGAGACTTGATCAACCTACAAGAACTTTCGGAGGAGATCGATGGCTGTGCTGGAAGAAGCGTCATCTTCACCAAGAGCGAGAAACAGGGACTTGCGCCACCACGTGCTCGACCGGGGGATCTGCTAGTGTGGTTCGATGGCTCCGACTTCCCGTTTGTTCTTCGACCAGCGGAGAAACAAGACAGTAGCGATCAGGAGTATGAGATAATCGGTGACATCTATGTTTCTAACTTTGATGCCGCTGCGTTGATGACGGATAGCCTGGTACACACGACTACATTTATGATCCGATAACGCGGAAGCCTGTCGGCGGAACACCTCGTGCCGCGTATCTGAGGACTGATAAAAGATGAATGGGAAGCACTTTCAGAAGCCGAGCATCTCCCACCAAGATCAATCTAATGCGCTTAACACCAGCACGATTTCAATATATCCATTACAACATTGGGTAATAATCTTGAGCACATGAATATCTCACTGCTCGGGCCCCAACCTTACTCGCTCGACGCCACTGTGAGGAGTACCCCGGCTAGTAGGGTTGGGTGTATGTCTAACATTGAGGGAGCTGGCGCTCTCTGCCTTAGCGCAGAGAGCAGATGCTCGGGCATCCGCGGGCTCTCTGCATTAGTGCAAAGAGCAGACGCTCGGGCATCCGCGGGCTCTCTGCATTAGTGCAGAGAGCAGACACTCGGGCCCCCACAGCCGCCCCGTTCGCTATCTACCTTCGTGCAGAGAGCAGACGCCCCGGGCGGCATATCTAGAAGCAGCGCATGGTCTATAGAGGCGGCCGCTTCTCGTTTAGTAATTAGTGGGTCCTTCCCAGCGATTACTAACGCTTAAGCGATGGAACTACGAATTGCTGATATTATTACCTTAAACGCCCGACTTTGGAGGATATGCGGATTTGCCTTCTTTTTTCCTACGTTACTGATATCCATGTTCACTACACCGCGCTTCTGCCTTGCATTTTGCCTTGCATTCTGCTTGCATTCCCCTTGCAGCTAATAGCTGATTTACTTTCTTATATAATTGAATACATTATTTCCGGCTTCTAGGCTCTCGCTTTTAGAGGTCTTTGTTATTTTTTATTGGATAATTCTATTTTAGGTAAGCTTATCCGGACGGAGAGTATCTAAACTAAGCGTGAAACTTCTCTAGTAGAAACTCCTGCTTTACTTCCTTCTAATAAGTACTAAAATTTAGTAGGCTTTTATTGGCCTATATTTAGAGGATCCTACCTAGAAAGTATTAAGAATTACTATTATATATACTATAGCTCTATATTCTATAATAGTAAGGTTGCAACTATATATAGTAGAATAGTTATTTAAAGAGCTTAATTATAATAAGAAAGATATAGCTGCTTATATATTAGAAGGCTATAATATTTATAGTTTACTAATAGCAACAGTAGATATATATACTCTAAGACTTACTCTACTACTAAAAGTTTATAGAATTAGTTTCCTATAGCTCTTATAGCTGCGTTTAAAGCTGCTGGTATAATACTAATAGTAGTAAAGAAACCTAGGTAAAAAAAGCAAAACTTAAGTATAAAGATAGGGTTTTAACGCTTATATATAATAAGGGGGTTATAAGGCTAGTAAAAGCCCCCTCTAAATCTAAGAACTAGAGATAGGTATAAAAAAGGGTTAAAAGGCTGTCACGATAGCGCTACACGCGAGAGGTCGAGGGCTTAAAGAGGAGCGTTGATTAGGTGCTATGTACAATGCTACGTGGAGAATCAAGACGTTGTGTAAGGAACAGGAAGACGGGAGACGGGCCACCGGATATAAGGGCGTGGCCGAGCGCGTGGCGTACGGCCTCTATGCCGTTTCGGCGCGTGGCACGCGTGTACGCGAGGGTAGGTGGCTGGAGCGGGACAGGATAGGAAGCGGAAGCGAGACGGGAGCGGAGCAGGGCAGGCAGGGCAGGAGGCCGGCCAACGGTAGTAGGCCGGTGCAGATTGCTGGAGTTGTAGCAATCTGCGGCAGAATTTCGGTAGGTAGGGTGTCGCGGTCGATACCGTGACAGTACCCCCCTCCTAAACCCAAGTCTCTTGGCGAGTAGAAGGCGCTGTTCGTGATGTGTACGGCTATTTATCGGGAGTAGGGCCGTGAATTAAATCTTGATTAAGGTTTTAGGGTCCAGCAGGACGGGGCTTATTGGACGCAGGATCGTGAGCTTCGGGGTGGCGGCGATAATAATCAGCCGCAGCAGTAGTGTCCTTTAGGTTGTTAACGGGTTGCTAGAACAGGTTGTTGTATCCAGTCCATCGGACTAAGTACTTGTATTGCTTTTAGCGCCGGTTTAGGCGCATGCCTTTAATACGGTTAATATACTATTCAGTCTCTCCTTTAACTTAAATAGGTTCAGGTGGGGGCGACTCCTGGCCAGGCAGGTAGTTAGCTTGCGGAGCGGCAGGACGGAGTAATAAGATATAGAAGACAGGATATATCTTTATAGATTTAGGTAGGCCTAGTTAATAGGCGTACGGAGAAACAATCTATATAATTGGGAACTTCCCTAGGTTCTTCTAATTAAGCTTCTTAGCGGGTTGATTTATACGGATATTCCGTGTATTTAACCAGACTTTGTCACCTACTTTATAGGCCGGTGCGCCTATATATTTTCGGTTGGCGTATTCTTCTTGCATTGCTTAGGCCTAAGTTATCTCTTTGCGGATAAACTGCTTAATATTTAATATCTTATTAACTATTTAATTAGCCTTAAGTGCTTGCAGTGCTTAATAGGTAGGGCGCGGAGTTCCTAATAGCGGTTTAAAGCCTATTCTCGGGTGTTGTCCTAAGATAGCAATAAACAGTGTTACTGTTGTCGATTTAGATCAGGTGTTGTTTACCTTAAACTAAGCGGACGGCAGCTAGGTAACCTAGTTATCTTGCTCGTAGTTTATATAGGCGCGGAGGACTTATTCCAGCATTAAATTAGCCTTTTCTATTTAGCTATTAGTTTCCGGGTAGAAGGCCGATAATAATTAGGCTTTAATACGTAGTTGCTTATAGAGTTTATCCTAAAACGCGGAGATAAACTATATTCCTTAATCGGATACGCATATATTAGGCAATCCGTGATATACCTAAATATATTAGTAGAATAGGTTAGCTATAGCCTTAGCCGTAATTATTCTATAGGGAATTATATATTAGTACTTGCTTAGGCGGTTTACTATAACTATAATATTAGTGCAGCCTTCGGATTTAGGTAGTTTAATAATAAAGTCGACAGAAATATCTTGCTAGTAATACTGCAGGACGGGCAGGGGTTTTAGGAAGCTATTATACTTCTTTTTTAAAGCCTTTATACAGCAACAGGTGTAATAGTATACTATAAATCGGCGGATTATTTTAAATATATACGGCTAGTAGTATTTTCTTTAAAGGATTTCTAGAGTCTTTCTATATCTAGGGTGGCTGCTAACAGGGGAATTATACATGTAATAAAGCAGTTTAATCTTTAGTTTATTATTATTAGGAATTGCTATTCGGTTGCGGAAGTAGAGCTTGCTATTTCGCTTTTTGCATTTACTTAGGGTAATCTTCTTAGAGCGGTATACTCCGGAGCATAATATTTCTAGGACTTCCTGGATAAACTTATTATTTAGGTATTTATCCTTAATAATCTCCTAAATTATTCGGTTAGTTTCTATTAAATTTAACTGCGTAAACAGGTTAGAACAGAGCAGTATCTAATTTCGGGCTGCTTAAGCTTCTTTTTACGCAAGCGCATTTTATATATAACGCGTTAAGGCGTTAGGCTTTTTACTATACTTACTAGGTTAGTAGGTAATTAAAAAGTTAAATTAGGACAGGTATTCGGACTAATAAGCCTGTTAGTAGCTTAACTGCTTTATAGTTATAAAGTACTGCAGGTTTTTATAGTTGCTAAGAACCTAAATTAGGAATACTGCGCCTTTTAGTTTAGGCCGCTACTGTTTAAAGCATTAGATAATTGCTAGGAGTTCCTTATTATAGATCTTATAGTTGTATTTAGCAGAACTTAATTATTTTAAGAAGTAGGCTATAGGTTAAAGTATTCCTTATTTATCTATTTATAAGAGCACTTTAGTATTTATATAGTTAGACAAATCGGCCTTAATAATAATTAGCAGTTTAGGGTCGAAATAACAGAGGATTAGGGCGGTGGTAAATACTGTCTTAAGTTATTTAAATACCGCACGGCAGGACTTATTAAACCGGAACGGAATGTCCTTCTTTATAAGTGTAATTAGGGGAGCGGCCAGGCCAGAGAAATCGTTAATAAATTGTTGGTAGAAGTTTGCAAATCTAATAAAGGCTTATACGTCCTTAATATTATAGGGGACTTTCTAGTTATAGATATTCTTAATCTTATTCGGGTCTATACTAATTCCGCCGGTTAATATTATATACCCTAGGTAGGTAACCTTATCCTAATAGAATTTGCACTTATTAATATCTAGTTATAGGCCGGCGGCTTCTATTACTTCCAGGACTAGCTTTACGTAATACTAGTAGTTTTCGAAGTTTTCGCTATATATTAGAATATTGTTAATATATACAGTATAAAATACGTCTAGGTATAGGCGGAGCACGTTGTTTATATAGTGTTAGAATATGCTAGGAGCGTTAGCTAATCTAAATAGCATTACTAGGTATTTAAACAGGCCGTATCGCGTCCGGAAAGCAGTTAGCTATTTATCTCCTTTTGCGATTTATAAGCAATTAAATACGGAGATAATATCGAGCTTTATATAGTATTTCGCCTTGCTTAATTATACTAGGGTCTCCTAAATTAAGGGGATTAGGTATTAGTTCTTAACAGTTATAGTATTTAGCGCGCGGTAGTTAATATAGAATTATAGGCCTTCTCCGGGCTTTTTAACAAAAATAACCGGAGAGGCGACAGGTGATAAACTAGCACGGATAAATCCTTTCGCGAGGTTGTTGTTAAGGTACTTCCTTAGCACCTTTAATTTATTTTATAACATTCCGTATAACGGGCTAAATCCGTGCAGTTTGCCGTCTTTAAGCATAATTTTATAATTATACATTCGGTATTTAGGTAACTTATTAGCTTCCTGTCGGGAGAAGGTTTTTAGCAAATAGTAATATTATGCTGGGACTTTTATAGCTAGGTCGGTTCGGGTTTTCGGAGCTAAGGCCTTATTAATATCGGTAATAGTAATAGTAAAGATTTTATAATTAGGTTATTAGGCTAATTAGGTTATAGACGCCGCGTTTAGTATATAGATATCCGTCCGGGTATTAGGTTTAAATTTAGAATTAGATTTAGTTTCGGGTTTAGTTTCTAGCTTAGGTTTAGGGTTAGGCATATTTATCTAGCGTACTATTTTAGGAAGCTAGTAATTGTGTCGGT